AAACGGTCATACCTGACACACACACACACAACACAGTCTCTCACACACACGGAGAGGCACATTTAGAGTTTTTTTTTTCTTCTTTCTTTCTTAAGAATGGTATCCTCAAAGTGACACTGGGAAAAAGTGGACAGGATGGACTGTATAAAGAAAAAAACACTCAGTATGGGGTAGAAAATCATAATAGAGAAGCAGGAAATTTATATTTGCCACATGCGGCAGACCAAAGGTTAATGTCTCTACTGTACAAGGTGGACCTCCAAATCCTTCCCCCCTTTCTTCCAAAGTCAGACAACCCAACAGAAAATAGGATTAGGGGTAACGGACAACTCACAGTGCACTCAGGGATGCCCAAAGCTGAGCAAATAAAACGCAGATGGAGAGCCCACAGATGTCCATGTGCACCCTGTCCCCAGCCCGCACCCCGCCGGTGTCCTGGTCTCAGCCACGGAGGGGTCTCTATGGGGTGGGTGCAACTGCTGCCCCCCTCTGCCCTGGGCTGTGCCCACCCCAAGGTCGATCTGGGTTCTCCCAGCCCTGGGGCACAGGGGCATCCTCCCACAGCTGCGGGTTATTTGGTGGGGGAATGGCAGGTAAGCACCTGGGCACCTCCAGCTCAGGGGCATAGTGAGGGTAATGAGCGCCCAGGGGCAATCTCTAAATTGCACCCTTCCCCCCCAATGTCAAGATGAATAGTCAATGACAGCAGTGACGCGTCAGCAGAAATGCCTTCCCCTCCTTGTCCAGCTGCCTCAGTCAGGCGCCTTTCATATTTGTGGCACCTCGAAATGTCATCCTCTGCCTCGTCTGGTGCCCCCTTGGACTTGCACCTTCTGGTCCCTTCCCCCCTGCTCCAGCTGGCACCCTGCAGGACTGGCCAGGGATTCCCTCCTTGATGGGGTCCTGGTGGCACCCCTGTGCTTGATCCCTGCAACCTGCCAGTGGCACAGGGTGCCATGCTTTGGGACTTTCACGGACCACCTCCCGCCGAAAGAGGGGCATTAGGGGCAAGCTCCAGGCCTGGGCTGGTTCTTCCCAGTGGTGATTCTTCAGCCTGGCTCTGCAGAGTGACGGTCACATTAGGCCACAGTGGGCAGATGCTGGCCATGTCAGCTGGCCTGGGGGATGGCAGGGTACCTTGGGGAGGCCTGGGATCAGGAGCAGCCAGTTGACAGCAGGGGAGATCTGGGGTGGCCAGGGCACCTCTTGCCAGCAGGAGCTGTCCTTTTGTAGGGCTTGGGCAGCAAGGTTCAGGTGAAGGGGTGAGCTAGCCTCCTGGACTGAGCTGACAAATGGGCCAAGTGGACACTGCCTGGGTTCCCAGCTCAAGGGGACCCAGAACCTATCCAGCTGCCCAGAGGCGGCTGTCAGATCAAAGTTCTGGTTACCCAATGTCTCCACACAGCTGCTGGGACCCTTTCTCTGCGGCCGCTGTTGAGACTCTCTGCAGCCGCTGTTGAGACTCTTGCTGTTGTGGGCCCACATTCTCCCCTGTGGACCCCTCTCCCAAGCCCGAAGCCTGGGGTCTGAGCGCCCCCTGCCTCTTCGCTGGTGTTTAGCAGACCCCTCCAATGCAGGTAACCCATCAGCCACGCCCTCAAGGCCCAGCCTGTGGCCTCCCGGCCCATCATGTCCACACTACCCATCCACACCGCTCTTTCCTTCATGGTTGGGCCCCGTCTGAGACATCCTGCTTTTTGGCCCACATCCCTACCTGTGTGAGCGCGCTCACCTCTGACCTGATCTGCATACCTGCTTCTTCTATTTAAGTAAATGTTTATATCCTGTTTGGGATTTCTGTGGAGGACTGTGGTCCTTAAGGTGGGGCAGGCCTCTCTGGGCAAGGGTACCAGCCAGGACTGCACCCTCTGGTTCATGCCCAACCCCCTGGCCCCTGCCGTACAGTGAATTAGTTAATATGGCCCTTCGAGCCATAGTCTTTATGACTCCCACGGGGGGGGGGGGGGATGCAAATAAGGTGCTTGTGCTTCACCAAGGAGATTGGACAGCTTGCTAATAATGCAAGTAAGGTGTATGGAACCCTGCAGGAGTGTGATCACGCAAATAAGGTGAAGAGGACTCTAACGAGGGGACTGGTCAGTTTTGCCATTCCGCTATGCTTAAAAGAGAGCCAAACCCAGAGCAGGGAGGACCTGACTGCCACCAAGGAGAGAGCAGAGTGCGCCCTCTGGACCCAGGATCCCTGCGCTGAGACCCTCCTAGATCCAGGAGAGAGAAGCCATAACATGGAAGGTGGTGAGAGACAGCAGCGTGGGGTGGCTTCCCAGCCCACAGAGCGACAAAGTTCAGTGCCTTCTTACTGGCAGAGTGGGGTGCCTCCAGGCACTTATCAGCAGCCCTTAAAGAGCTTTGTAACACTTGCCTGAGCAGGACCGAGGCCAGGCTGAGGGACCAGAGAGAGGTGTGCCTGCCAGCACAGATGAGAAGTCACCCTGATCGAAGAACTGTATCCTGAGCATTCTTGAACCTCAACTGTAACCTGTTAAAACCTGTTGTCGTCAGATCGATTCTGACTCATAGCAACCCTATAGGACAGAGCAAAACTGCCCTACAGCATTTCCAAAGAGCAGCTGGTGGATTCAAATTGTTGACCTTTGGGTTAGTAGACTGAGCTCTTAACCACTGTGCCACTAGGGCTCTTGTATCCTGTTATGTCCCTAATAAACCCCATAACTGTGAGTATCACCTAGGAGTTGTGTGTGACCATCGCAACAAATTACTGAAGTCAGAGGAGTAGAGAGGGTCATCATGGGAAGGGATGGTTGGTGTCAGAATTGGTAAAAAGCGGACAGGGAAGAGACATGCCTGACCGCTGCCCCACAGGAATCAGCCTTGGGCTGTTGACCTGGATTCTCCTTCCCCCTTGTGAAGTTAGGGAGACGCTGCCTCCGCCACACCATTTTTACAGTCCCCGTCTGTGTGCTCTGCCTGCCCACCAGGAGTCAGGAATCTAACACCTCAGTTTTCTTCCTCATGCCCCCCTTTGATCCTCCCTGACACACTCAGCTTCCTCCAGCTTGCACCCACGCTGCTGAAGGGCCCCTGTGAGCAACAGCACTGGCACACCTCTAAGGAGAGCCTTTACCTTAGTGGGCAGTCAGTCACACCAGGGCCCTTCGGTTCTGCCCCAGCCTGGACTGCGGGCAAAGGGGCTGTCCCCCTAGGTGGAGGGCCCCATGACTGCTCAGGGAAGCCCTGCAGATAGTCCCACAGTGCCGTCCTCAGGGGGTTTACTGGCACTGACGTGGGACTAGTCAGAACTCACTGTACTGAGTGACACCAAGGAGACCTGGGTCCCCCAGCCCTGAGGTCAGGACCTGATGTAGGTGGTTCATTTGGGAGCAGGAGGGAGGGGAGGGGGACAGCTGCTGAAGGGCTGACGGAGGTGCTGCACATGGGCCCTCCTTGGCCAAGACTTAAGACCCCCTCCCCCGGGTGGGTGAGGGTCAAGGACAGGGAGACACTGTAGTCTGGGGACCTGCAGGACCTGGTTCAAACCCATTTTGGCAAAAAAAAAAAAACACACCACTATGTGTCCGTCTGTCTGCCCGTGTGTATGAATCCACATGCAGACAGAAAGGGTGAAAGCCACTCACAGCAGTGACAGCCCTGAGAAGCTGGAGGGCGGTGGTCCCATACCCCACAGGCCAGGAGAACAGGACTTGTATTCTGATATCTGACTTGTAAGCAAGATGCTGATCAAGAAAATGACATCTGCAAAATGCAAATGGACCCAAAACTGCTCCAGCCCATGGCTCTCTTTTCACCCTTACTTCCTGGAGGGGCTGGGCCAGGGCTGCTCATGGAAGGCCGTCCTAGGCTAGCCCTGCACCTTCTCCTGGGGCAGGACAACTGGCCACCGTAAGCTGCTGCTCACAAAACCTACACCGTAGTGCCCTCATGTGCCCCATGAAGGGGTGCCCCCACCTCTGCACACCAAGATGGCACCATTTTCACAATATGACCATAGGAAGCTCAGAACCCTCCCTCCTCCACCAATGACTGCCCTGACAGGGAACACGACAGAGTCCCTGATGGAGCAGAAGAAAGATGGGGTGCAGAACTCAAATTCTAGTAAAAAGACCAGACTTGATGGTCTGACTGAGACTGGAGGGACCCAGGAGAGCATGGCCCCCTGACTCTGTCTACCGAGAACTAAAACAATTCCTGAGGCCAACTCTTCAAACATTGGACTAGACTGTGGGACATAAAATGATACTCGTGAAGAGTGTGCTTCTTAGGTCAAATAGATACATGAGACTAAATGGGCAGCTTCTGTCTGGAAGTGAGATGAGAAGGCAGAGAAGGTTAGGAGCCTGTTGAATGGACATAGGAAATCCGGGGTAGAAAGGAGGAGTCTGCTGTCACAGTAGAGGGAGAGCACTTAGGGTCATATAACAACGTATGTATAAATTTTTGTATGAGAAACTAACTTGAAATGTAAACTTTCACAACAATGAACCAAAAAAAAAAACCAAAAAAAAAAAAAAAAAAAAAAAAAACACCCTCCCTTCAAAACTAAAACAATACTCCAGAAAAGTGGAGGGAGGGAAGAAAAGAGCTCCTCTTTGGAAGGGCTCATTTTGTCCGAAGGCAGATGCCCCCCGTGGGCACAGAGCAGCAGAGCTGAGGGTGGCTGACACAACCCGTCCGCCTCAGTGAGTACGGCTGCATACCAGCACTCCAGACGGCTCCCCAAGAGGAAACCACGGCAGCCAGGCCACCTCCACTGAGGAGGGCCTGGAGCAGCAGACACACAGACACGCACGCAGAGACAGACACACCTGCTCTCGCCAGTAGGTGGTGGGGGTAGAAGATGGGGAGTGTGCATCAGATGCCAAAAATCAGAGGTGGTCCAATGATAAAAGTCACGACTTCTCTGAAGGTGAGCACCCACTACTGTGTCCCTGGACATCTCGGCGAGGTCTCCAGGCGCACAGAGGGAGGAGCCGAGACCCCAGTGTGGGCAGGTGGGCTACGAGGCAGCCGTCAGGTTTATTTATTCCTACTCAACATAACCCCAAACACAGAAGGAGCAACTCTGTACATGTCTAGAAACTCACTGCTAGCTCCGAAACAACAGAAAGTTTAAACTACAAAAGGTGAGTTGTAGCCAGCAAATATAAAGGATGACTTGAGGTTGTTGGATGTTCGTCAGACTATGTCCACCATGCCAGGCAGCTCAGATCTCGCCGGCCTCCTTCTCCTCTGACCTCCGCGAGGCCGCCTTCCCGTTGGAGCCCTCGAGCCTGCAGTCTGCGGTGCCCCTCTCGCTCCGCCCTCGCTCCCAGGACTCCTCTCTCGACACTCGCTCTCGGGAGAACCTGGGGGGAGGGGGGAACCAGAGGCTCAAGGCAGCCACCGTTTCCCTGTGGCTGGCTGCCCAGGCGCCAAAAAGTCAGCCCTCAACACTGGGTGGGGAAGGCAGAGTGTCCACCACAGCCCAGGGTCCTGCAGGGCAGGGCACCCGGCCAACTCGTGCCACCCACTGAAAAGCGAGGTCTGCTCAGACTTTAATAACAGGAAGAACTGATGCTGTGATGGAAGCTGAGCAAAGGGGAACACAGTAAGAGTGCGCACAGGCAATATCATCCCACCACACAAACATATAGTTAAAGAGAGGCCACAGCCAAGCGTGCTCTAACGCCAATAGCGGCTGTCTGAGTGAGATCTGAGCGGTGCCGTGTCTCTTCGCCTGATTAGCTAGCACACAGGTCTCATGGGCTCTGGGAAGCGAGGTGACCGTCTGCCCAGGACAGGAACCTGTGAGCAAACACAACGCGGGGCACCCAACAACGTGGCTGTGTGCGTGTGGGCAAGTGCCTCCACACAGCCCTGTACGCCCCTGGCCTCACTGTCTCCTCCGGATGCCTGCCAGGCCCTTGGGCCTGAGCCCAGCCCTGTCCCTATCAGACATGGCCACAGGCCCTGCTGAGACCCCTGGCAGACCCGAGACCACAGAGAGGGCTCACTCCTGCTGCAGCACTGAAGGGCTCAGGTAGTTACTTGTACTTGGAGCTGCGGTCCCGGGAGGCCCGGCGGTGGCCCCGACTGCGGCTCCGGGAGCGGCTTCGGTGGCGTCGGTGTCTGTCTCGGGACCGGGACCGGGAAGACTTGCGTCGCTCACGGGACGTAGACCTCGATCGCCTCCGACGCCGGTCCCGAGAGCGCGACCTGCGAAGACACAGAAGGCCCTGAAGTGACTCTGCAGGCCCGCCGCGCACGACCACCCAGCCGGGAGCCTCCTTCCGGGAGCCGGGGTGGCAGCATCACCTGGACGCCTTCTCAGCACGTTCTGCTCACTGCCTTAGTGACACGCCCCCCTTCCCCGTCAGAATATTCCCATCATTAACCGGCAGGCCCATTCCAATGCCCCTCCGTGAAGTCATCTCCACCAGGGAATCCTCAAGAGGGGCCATGGCCCCCATCTTCCCCCCATTCACGGACCTTCCTCTGTGCTCACCCGGCCACCCCCAGCCCCCAGGACAGAGGGCACGAGTCTCACCCACGCTTCCTGCCCTGCCTGCCAGATTACACCCGTTCAGATACACAGACTGAGGAGTAAGGAAGCTATCCACGACTGGGAAGGTCAACGGGTCTGGACACCTACCTCCTGCGATCTCTGGTCCTTGATCCAGACCTGAAAAGGGACAAAACCATCAACAACCCCCAGAGACACTTCATGGCTCGGCTCTTAGGGAGGAGCTGAGTCCGAGTGGGCGGGGCCTGGTCCTGTAGGAGCTACGTTCCTGGCAGCGCCTCACAGCCTCACCCAACTCTCCTTCCCACCCTTGGCTCGTAAGCCCTCAGTGGTCTACACTTCACGGACAGTGCGCGTGTGGCACAGATACGTGCCCATGATGAGCCTCACCCCACCCCGCGTGCGGAACAGCATGTGCTCAGTCTGGGCTCAGCCAAGCCTCCACTCCATACACCATGCATTTGTTTTTCTTTTAATTGAGGCCCTGGGTGGTGTCAATGGTGCATGCGATTGGCTGTTAACTGAAAGGCCCACCCAGAGGTGCCTCGGAAAAAAGGCCTGGTGATCTGCTTCTGAAAACACAGCCACTGAGAACCCTATGGAGCACAGCTCTACTCTGACACACATGGGGTCACCAAGAGTCAGAGTTAATTCAGTGGCAAATGGTTTTCTTCTTTTAGGCATCTGACAGCTCTTCATCATTACAAGCAGCACTGCCGCGATCCTGTGGGAGTCCTGAGGCCCGTGGCAAACCCCTCCCACACAGCATCTTCTATCCGCGAGGCTCACCGTCTGCTCAGCCTCTCCTCCCGCTCTCTCTCCTCTCTCCTCCTCAAGCGATCCTGGTTTCTCTTTTCCTGCTTTTCAGCCACTGTTTTCTAAATAAACGAGAAATTGAGAAAATGAGGTAGGAGCAGGTTACGAATCTAGAATGCAACTCAGTACTGGCGATTTAAAAATGGAAGAGAAATTCTTAAGACACAGGCATACGTTTCATTTTTAAAGCTTCTCAATCGTGACAGCAGAAATGCTTCATCCCTGCACTGTATGAATCCAGGGACAGAAGGCACGTTCCCAATGCGGTGCTGCACTTACAGGTCACAGGGACCTGTCAGACTGCTTTCAGCCAACCCAGAGAGCTAGCTTTTTACCCAAAGGAGACTCCACAGGCTATGGGGAGAAATGTTAACAGGTGTGCCAGACCAAAACACATCTGGCTGCTGTGTGCCAAGCTCCTGCTGGCCTTAGACCTGAGTGCGGCTGGCAGGCCAAGGGGTGCCTTCATGAACCCACAGCACCACTTTCAAAACCCAGCAAACTGCCAGTGCTCGAGTCAACAGGAAGGACAGGAACAGGGATGCAGGAGGGCCTCTCACGTGAGAAGCAGCTCCTGCAAAGCTGTCACGGGACTCAGCACAGCCCCCACCCACAGCTTCTACTCAAAGCCCTTCAGTGACCTCATCTTTGCCCCAAGGGGAAGTACGTTAGAGCTGGTGAGGACGAGAGGATTATCCTAAGTGCTGTGTGTGGTAGACAGCGCCCTCCCAGACGAGAGGGCAGAGCAGGGACTGAGAGAACCCTTTCTCCTCCTCAAGACACTTCCAAGTACCCCTCTTGCCCCTCCCTGCCAAACCCCATCTCCTGTCCTACACCTGACCTGGCGCACGCAACGAACAGCAGTTTCGAGGGACCAGGTGTCCACACTCTTTCCTGAAGACCACAGGCCTGTGGTCCAGGCATGACCTCCTTTCCAACCTCCATCCCATAAAAAAGCCCTCCTTCTCCCACCTGACACAAAGGCCTTACTCATACCCACCCTGAATCTAACTCCTGCACTGCCCTGAGGCGCAAACACCTCTCTCTGGGCACCAGCAAAGGACTGATGTAAGTGATCCTGCCATTAACTCAGGCCAGAAGCTCCCACCACCCACTTTGTCCTTGAGAGATGCACAGCAAGTACATTTTGTGCTATGAGTTTAATAATCATTTATTACAGTCTGCAACATGGTTGTGTTGTTTTAACCTACTCTATACTACTCATAACTGCAATTATGTAACATTCTAGATTTCTAGATTAAGCAATTTTCTAGATTAAGCTGACACTTAGGTTCTTAAGGTTGCAGAAAAAAATTTCAACATATTCAAATTTCTGATGCAGTGACACGTGAAGGAAGGCTTTCAGGTATAAAAAGATATTACGTTAGAAAAAAATTGTGAGGTAACATGAAATAGAAATACAATTTAAATAAATATAAAACTACCAACTGCTGAAGAGCAAATTTTTAATGAGGATGACAGTGGATATCAAATTATGTTATTATTTATATTTCTTTGGATACATAAACAATAACATTGCATCTTTTTAACTACAGACTTATAAGAAAGAACTCCAACCTAAAAATGTGTGACAAAATATACCACTTTTCAGAATTCTATCAGGGTACAGAAGCAGAAACGTTTCAAGACCCAAAAACGTTTTGCCGCCTCCTCCCTCCCTCTCCCCACCCGTCTCCTACAGGGGCCCTCCTCAGGGCACAGCCTTGTCTGCTGCCCAAGGGAGCTGCCCCTTCCTGGGTGTGCAGACCCTGGGCTGTGAACAAGGGCTTGCCTGTCACAGTGTTCTACAATCTGTGTGTCTGTCCATCTGCCAAGAAGGCTACGTGCTTCCCAACATCCCACCAGAGGGTCCCAATGCGCAGTGGGGAAGGCTCCATCGAGGTTGAAGAATGACAACTCCAAGTATGTGAAACATGCTCACCTTTATTCTTAGTTTTCCACAAGTAGGATTTCAAATTTTGAGAGCCTAATTCAGGAGCCCTGGTGGCGCAATAATTAAGGCACTCGGCTGTCAACTGAAAGGTCGACGGTTCAAACCCACCTAGCGGCTCCAGAGGAGAAAGACCTGGCGATCTGCTCCCATGAAGATTACAGCCTAGGAAACCCTATGGGGTAGATCTACTCTTTCACACGGGGTCACCCTGAGCCAGAAGTGACTCAATGGCATCTTAAAAGCTTGCAAGCAGCCATCTACAATGCATCAATTGGTCCCAACCACCTGGAGTAAAGGAGAATGAAGAACACCAAAGACACAAGGAAAAAACTAGCCCAAGAGACAGAAAGGGCCACATAAACCAGAAACTTCATCAGCCTGAGACCAGAAGAACTATACGGTGTCCGGCTACCACCAATGACCACCCTGACAGGGAACACAACAGAGAGTCCTGGATGGAGCAGGAGAAAGGTGGGGCACAGAACTCAAATTCTAGTAAGACCAGACTTAATGGTGTGAGACTGGAGGATCCCCGGAAAGCATGGTCCCCATGAACTAAAACAATTTCCGAGGCCAACTCTTCAGACAGGGATGGGACTGGACTGTGGGACATAAAGTGACACTCGGGAGGAGTGTGACTCTTAGCTCAAGTAGATACAAGAGACTGAACGGGCAGCTTCTGTCCGGAGGTGAGATTGGAAGGCAGAGAAGGTTAGGAGCTGGTTGAATGGACATGGGGTATAGGGTGGAAAGGAGGTGTGTGCTGTTACAGTATGGGGAGAGCAATTAGGGTCACATAACAATGTATGTATAAATTTCTGTATGGGAGACAAACTTGAAATGTAAACTTCATTTAAACTACAACAATAAACAAAACAAAAAAAGAAGTGCCTCCATGGCACCCAACACCAACCCAGGGAAGTGTGGAAAAAAACAGGTTATCTACGGCCGGGGGGTGGGGGAGGAGTACAGGACTATCAGAAAAGCAAGCCCCTCTTCATCCTAAGAGACAAGGAGCCTCTGAGGGGGCTCAAAGGGAAGGGGCTCAAGAGTGCCATCTTCCATCCAGCCCACCACTGTCCATCACCTTCTGTTGTCCAAGGAGAAAGATGGGAGCCCACTGGTCCTTCTTCGTCCCAGCGACTTCAGAGGTAGGGGCCTGTGCCTGGGACCAACTCTGCCACTTTCTTCTGCGAACGAGCAGGAGCAGACTAAACGAGACTCCATGGCCCCTTTGGATTCTGAGATCTTAGGTCTCTTATGAGCACAAGTGGTGAAATCTGAGGTTTTCACTATAAAACTCAAGGCAAGTTCTTGGAGGGTTAGAACACTAGGTGTTCTAGAGCTAAAGAGACGGGAAGACAACCAGGACCTCTCAGGTTCCTCCATAACATGACAAGTGATCTTACCCTCAGCTGGTCCAGCTTCTCCCGGATCTGAATGAATCCCAAGTGTAACTTGCCCCCAAAGTGGTCTGCGAGACGTCGGTCATTGTCATGGAGACCAAGGTAGGCCGAGCAGACCTCACAGACACGCAGCTTCTGCTGCTGAAAACTGGATGCAGGCATGGAATTTCTATATTCTTCCTGGAGAACGGGAACAGAGAGACACACGTGAGTAATGAAGAACTGGCTACCACATACCCAACCCAACAGGGGAACTATTTAAAGGGACTATAGAGGTGATTTTCATATAAGTGAGCAGTCATGACTTCAAAGCAACAAGAAGCACTGAAAACAGACAAGCAGGAATCTGCCTGCTCCCACAGACGCCGGCTGACATCTCTGTTGTGCACAAAGGGAGCGTCATGAGGACCAGGACTGGAGGACAGATTTCCAACAGGGACTTTCAACCACAACACAGGGCCAGCCATGCAGACTGTGTCCCAATGCCAGGAAACTACCCCACAGTGCAGCCCCGAAGTTAAAATTTGGTAGGACAATACATTAGCATTTTCTTCAAAGAAAAAAGTGTGCACAACAAAATAAACCTCTGTCCCAGCAGCCACTGCAGAGTCTAAGTCCAATCTCAGGAAATAACTTAGCCTCGAGGTAAATCACAAGTGGAAAGAGAAGAAACCAGAGGTATGGGTTCCTGCAGCTTATGACCAAATTAAAATGCTCCTTCAAGAACCACAGTCAAAACAATCGCATGTAAATAGTCATCCACCCTCATTTAAAGGAAGAACTGGTATGGAACAACTTCCCAATCCACACATCCAAAACACTTCCTTGGAAATGCAAATTAAAGTAAGATACCTCACCATCACCCCCTCCCCCAATTAAACTCTGAATGCAATTAAGCAATGTGGTGCAGTGCTTAAGAGCTCAGCTGCTAACCAAAAGGTCAGCAGTTCGAATCCACCAGTCTCTCCTTGGAAACCCTACGGGGCAGTTCTACTCTGCCCTATAGGGTTGCTATGAGTTGGAATTGACTCAGAAGCAAACAATAATAGAGCAGCAGTAAGATGGCCGAATAATAAATGTATATGCAGCAACCTGGAGAAACCTAACACACAATGCTGAGTGAAAAATGCAAGCTGCAGGATGGGAACAATAAACGTACATACGTACGTACACCTGCAGTTATGAGGGCTGTGAAACGCTCGAGGTACACAGTACATACTTAGACGTCTATGGATACACGTGCACTAAAGTATAAAACACCAACTGATGTGCACTGCGATGGAACGAGAGGGAGACTGGGATGGGGCAACGGGAACCTGGGTTCTCAGTGCAACGAGCTACATCTTTTACTAAGAGAAAAAGCCCTCAAACAACGATACCCACAGTGGGCACACAAACGTCGTGGTATTATTCTGTCCCTTCCTCTAGTTTTTAAACACCACTCTAAGATCTTTCAAAATAAATTCCCCAATTATATTGACTGAAAACAGCCAATTCTGAAAGGCCACATATACTGCAAGACTGCATTTAACGTGGCATTCCTGGAATGACAGAATTAGAGAGACGGAGAACATGTCAGAGGTTGCCAGGGTCAGAGCAGCGGGTGTGGCCATCACTCACGATGGAAAGCTCTGTATCACGACCGCCTCACAGTCAGCTCTGCGCTGTGACCTTGCAGGATGGCTTTGCTAGATGCTACTACCGTGGGAAACTGGGCTACAGGGTACACAGGATCTCTCTGTATTATTTCCTATAACTGCCTGAGAATCTACAGTAACCTCAAAATAAAAAAATGGAATTAAGAATTAAGTAAGTTCTCAAATCTTTTCTGCAAACGTGCCATCCGAGGAACTGGAAACTGATGTCAAGAGCTCCTATTCTTCCCCAAAATGCAGGAGAGAAGCCTTCTACTTCATACCCTGCCTGCTACTGAGAGCAGAAAGGACACCAGCACCCAGCAGAGGCCCCCTGGGCTTCACCCCCACCATCTCCAGTGGGTAGTCCAGGAAGCAGTACTGCCCTGGGGGCACCTTAAGGCCTCCAGCACTCCATGATAGAACAGAGAGGGGCAACGCATAAAAATGTCATCCCACACCTGGCTCGGCTTGCCTCAACGAAGCTAACAACAAAACTGCATCATTAACCCAGTGAAGCCCGATTCTGGTATACATATGAAGGACCTTTTTTTCAGAATTTAAATACACACCCAACCATATAGAAAGGGAACTACTCTGTTGTTTGGGAAGTCATGGCACCTCAGCAGTGCCACTCAGGGTGTCTGAGTCACAAATGTCGCCTCAGCCACCACACTGCCAGTCCTTCTGCAAAGAGTGACACGAGGACCCACTCACTGTCTTAGTGTGGCCACATCTAAGCCTTTATATCAGAAACAGACCACGTGTACTGAGGAGCTTTTCTCGTCTCCCTCCGTTATGTTATTAAAGGACAAATCTTATCTAGGGATGTCATCAAAGGGGGTTGCTGGCCCACCAGGTTTCTAAAGCTAGCTGGGCGCCAACACCTCCCAACAGACACACTGTCACCTCCCTTGCAGCCACTGCAGTACCCAATGGTCTCGGATTGAGCAGCCCTATCACTCTGTCTCCTCACGTGACCTATCAGTGGCCTCTGACACCCACAAGCCTGACCCCTCATTGACTATTCCATCACCATGACTGAGCATGACCAGACAGACCCAGTCGGGGCACTACACACCACCCCATCCAATCACTTCTCAGTCTGCAGATCTTCCCTAAGGGGCAATCCCCCTACACTACCAGACAACACCCCCACTGACCCAAAGCCACTCTCAAACTCAGAGCCCTGCTTACTTCGTTGAGCACTTAGTCTGAATGCATCTTTACCATTTGCTCCCACTTACCTCTCTGTACCCCCTGCCCAGCCCCCTGGAACGCAGTCTCCATAGAGAAGGCCTTTCTCTCACATCAGAGTGCCTGGCACACTCACAAAAAACCCACTGCCGCTGAGTTGATTCTGAATCATATTGACCCTACAGGACAGAGTAAAACTGCCCCATAGGGTTTCCAAGGCTATAAATCTTTAAGGAAGCAGGATGCCACATCCTTCTCCTGCAGAGCGGCCAGTAGGTTCAAACCACTGACCTTTTGATTAGCAGCCGAGCACTTTAACCACGGCATCACTAGGGCTCTCAACTCTACCCAAGCCACCCAAACTAAATAGAAGCGACAGCCCACCAACGTCCCAGGGAAGCAGAAGGACCGAGAGAGGCACATGCACTAACACCACTCCATTGACCCTCCTGGCGCTCGAGGCAGGCAGGCCGGCCTGTAAGCGTCCTCTACAGATGGGACACCGCACTCAGAGATGGCAGGGGCCAGCCCTCACTCTCAGCAGTCCTGGTCCCCTTCCTACGAGTGTGCTCCCCACCGACCTCGGCTTCTTTCTTCTTTGTACGGACTTTCTCCACCTCCATGAGGATCTTCTGGGATTCGTCCACATTCCCTTCTGCTCCTAGCTGCTCCGCTTTAGCAAGGAGCTTTCCTATTTCTTCGTTCAACTCGTGGACTTTTTCTGCCTGAGGGGAGAGAGAAAGTATCAGGTATACAGACGCCCAAGAACAAGACTCTCAATGCCAAGAAAAGAAGTGTTTTTCTTGCTGTATTTCCAGTCCAAGATCCATGCTGGGTCCCGTACATGTTTTCACAAATCACAGAACCAGCCACACCATGCCCGCCTCCCTCTTGTCTCATGGCACAGAGTGTCCCTGTACGGTGCTAGCACCATCCTGCTGGGGGCCTCATGCTCTCTATGCTGCAAGCGACATGCCCTGATGACTGGGCTTTACCCTCAGGAATACAGCCAGATTGCTCCTTAGAAACAAGGATGGTGAGATTTCGTCTCACATACTTTGGACATGTGATCAGGAGGGACCAGTCCCTGGAGAAGGACACCATGCTTGGTAAAGTGGAGGGTCAGTGAAAAAGAGGAAGATCGTCAATGAGATGGACTCTCACAGTGGCTCCAACGATGGGCTCGAACATAGCAACGATTGTGAGAATGGTGCAGGATCAGGCAGTGTTTTGTTCTGTTGTACATTGGGTCGCTACGAGTCAGAACCAACTCGAGAGCACCTAACGACAGTCCTCAGGAACAAAATAATAGCACCTCCAGTCCAACTAGCAACCGCATGTATCCTAACAGGAAATGCTTTTACAACACTGAAGGGGAAAACTGCAAGCCTCAGCCCCTGAGGGGAGCACAGGGTAAAGCAGACAGGAAGGTTAGCCACCTCCTGTGTCACCTGGGCGTTCAAGACCACAGACACACGACTGCTCGACCACAGCCTCTCCAAAGTGGGAACACACCGAGGCAGTGAGTGCATCCTCCTCCCCACGGACACCCAGCTGCACTGAAGGGAGTGACAACTGCCTGCGCCCCATTTCACGCAGGACAGAGCCACCCAGACTCACCTTGGCCGAGACCTCAGCGCTGATCTCCTCCTGGGTCTCTGCCAGCCGCTTCTTGGCAAGCTCCGTTCTGCGGTCGCACTCAGCAATGAAGGACTCCAGGTGATCCATTGCCTAGTTGGGAAAAGCAGAGTGCTGTAATCTCAAGCCCATCGATCTGATGGGAAGCACACGCCTGGGTCAGTTCCTTAGAGCCTGTAGGTTCAATGGACTATGCTACAGCCAACACGTCCATACCAGGGAAAACCAGAGGTGGCTGGTTAACTCAACTGGTTATTCAGAGCATGGTCTCCTCATTGCATTTACTCACTTATTTCCAAAATTTATAAAAGGACCCCAACCCTCAATAACATCATCGGGAAGACTGAGGAAAATCAAATACATGGACATAATGAACAGTGTTCTCCAAGGGGAAGCTAGCGACAAGGCCCTTTTCTGGAGATTGGCAGGAAGTGCATATGATGTACTCACTGGTCTTTGTGAGCCACGTATATATTATTCCCTCATGTTCTAAGGGTAGAGTCCCCCCTTCCACCTCAAAAACAAAATAAAACAAATATTACTGAGAGCTGTGAATACATTCTCATCGCCTACTATCTAAAGTAGCAGGGAAACCACTTACAGAAAAAGATACTCTGGAAATAACTGGTAAAAAGAGTGGGTAAAAAAACAGTAAGAGAACTAATTATTAAGTTGTCACATATACTAAAGAGTCAACCTGCCATAACTAGGCAAAAGCTCCAACATAATTTCAGACACATGTGCAAAGACAGCAGCAGACAGGACATCACTTTTCCAATCAGCAAAAAGGGCAGACTATTAGCAGTAACAAGAAACACCTGAGGTTGTATCAGCTCAGCTTGCTCATGTCAGCATCATTCTAAATGTTGACTTCAAGTGAGTTCAACAGTGTCAGCAATAGGGTCAGTGTGATCTACCACCAAAAAACAGAGAAAAGAACTTTCAGCCAAGATGAAAAGACAGATGAAAATCAGGCCAACAGACAAAGTGATGGTAACACCCTCCCCCCCCCCCCCACTCCCTCCAAGGACAAAAGAGACTCAGTCAGCTGGGGAACAGCAGTGACTGGAGAGGTTTATGGCCGTCCTTGAGAAAGCTTAAATACTTTTTTCAAATAAATGTATATTTGGCAGTTGGCCAAGGCAGGGGACAAGGCTCCGTGATGCCACCGAGCCCCCAGAACACTAGAAAGAGGCCCAGCCACACATCCCTCGGTAGGTGTGAAACTCAGGACCGCGTCCCTGTTATAGGTCATCCAAATGCCTGCAGCGAGCATTTCACGGTGTCCAAATCAATCAATCAGACATTACTTTGTCTGACTGCACACACTTGCACACCCAGATAGGCGTATACTGCTGGAAAGACGATGCGGTGGTCAACTCTGTTAGACAGCCACTGTGCCCGCCCACCTTGACCCCGGGACAATATCCTGACAGACCAGCCCGAGGAGTCCCAGGCACCCTGTGACCCAACTGGCACGATCATACATGCAGACAGACTGACTGACCAGGAATGTGCTCACTGGGCTCAAGTGAGGGACGGACACCTGATACCCTGCAGCCTTTCTTTACCAACCAAAGCAAACACTTGCATTTTCAGCAGAAGCCAAACTGGCTACTGACCCCAACCTCTGATAATCTGAAAACTAACCTCACAGAGAGCAAGCAGAGCACAGAGACATTTTCTGAACTGCCACATTCTTTAAACAGCGGTTCTGCCCTCTACTCCTGTCAACATGCTTCTCAATTTCTGACTGGTTCCTCAACCAAAGACTAGGTTTAAATGACAAAAAAGATACGAGACCAAAAATTAGATTCCAACTACAACCTGCCACTTACTCACAGAAGCCTGAAGTCTGTGAAACAGGGAGAGTGGGTGACTAACACGCGGCCAGCACCTCACGCAAACACTGCCGGGTGTCCTCACAGTGCAGCCCTGACAGGCCGTTCCGGCAGATCTCCCTACACCCAGGGCCGTCTGGTGCTGGTCCCTGCCGAGTGCCATCCCAATGGCCTGTCCGGCAGCAGTGACCCCAGCCAGCAACCAGTGAGCCTCGGGGAGGAGCCCTCGCTGTCAGAACACCCCAAACAGCGAGGAGATTCTCTTACGTTCTCCATTTCACGACAAAGAAACTTAGGAACAGCTTCCAAACTACCACAGGTGGAATCCGGATGCAAGGACCCTGTGTTCCAGGCCCCACAGCGACGCATTTAGTCCTCCCACCAACCCAGTTATAGATAAGTAAACAAAAAAACCCAAACCCACTGCCATCGAGTCCATTCTGACTCAGAGACCCTACAAGACAGAAAAGAACTCCCCCAGAGGGTTCCCAAGGCTGTAATCTTTACAGGAGTAGACTGCCACCATCCTTCTCCTGCAGAGCGGCTGGCGAGTTCAAACTGCCAATCTCTCAGTTAGCAGCTGAGCACTTAACCACTGTGCCACCAGGGCAATAACCTGCCCGAGGCCACAAAGGGGCTCTTGAGCAGGTAGATGACTTAGGGGAACATAACCATAAACTGTACATCCGTAAGGTGTAATCAGAACTGATCTCACTTGGCACATTAAAGACAGTTTGGAAATCAGCTTATTTTGGAAACCCGTCATATAAAATATCACAAAGCAAAATAACCTGGGAAGAAGATTAACTGCATTTTCAGTGAACTAAAGAGAGAAACAAATCCTTTACGTTTTCAGTGTGTTACCACTAAAGAACTGCTCTGTAACTTTTTCACAGATTAAACTAATATGAATATTGCTGTTTACCAGTTGAGATGAGAAATGTGAAATTCATTTATTGATTATCCAAAAGCAAATACTACAAACCCTTTCGTAAGGAATTTCTGGATAACACATTCTCAAGAAATCAGGGCCTCGCCTGGTGTGGTCAGGCTGGGAGGAGCCAATGGGTGGGGAAGTGCCGGATGTCCCAGCATCAAGCTCAGACTAAGGGTTTAGGCAGGGAATAAAGGGCTACAAAGAAACACCTTTCTCCACGTCTCTGGGTGGCAGAGACCCAGCAGTTTGTTAACTCACCCTTCTGCTATCGGAATGACAAATGCAGAGACCTTTCTGACCCCACGGCTCCACTTCTGGGACTTCCCTGACACAGACTCACACGTGTGCCGACGTGCACCATTATTCTCTGAGCACCACGACCACCAACAGAGGACTAGTCGCGTAAAATTTATACACAGCCACGGGAAAGCACACACACACTCTTCAGGTCCAACAGGAATCGTCTCAAGATGTACCGAAGAGCTAACACAAAAAAAGGCATGTATGGAACTGAGTGTAACTAGACTACCATTTATGTGAAAAAGGGAAAACAAACACACACACACACACACACACACACACACACACACACACTCTCTCTCTCTCTCTCTCCAATGCCCATCTTTTAAATTTTGAACCATGTGAATGTTCTACACATTTAAAACATTGATACTATTAAAGATGCTATGCCCCTAATGAAATCACTGATGTAGGCAATGCTCCTCGGGGCTGCTGAGAGCAGGAGGCTGAGGCAGCGGGAGTCCAAAGCCTTGTCAAAGAGAAGGACTTGAATATGAAAATCACACTTCTAGACCTAACTCCCAGGTTATAGGAAGTTTCAGAGATGGTGGAACACGTTAACAACACATCATAAGGGTACAATCGCAAAATCCAGAATGTAAGAAATTTAAACACTACCTTCAACAATTAAAGACTTAAAAAGACTTAAGCATATAAACCAACAGATCACATGGCCCTTATATTGCATCCTGAGTCAAATAACTAAAAAAAATTTGGGTGGGGGGAGATAATCTGGGAAATTTGAACAATGACTGAATATTAGCTGATGTTAGGGAGTTTTAAAAATATTATGATTACGTGTTTATAAAGTCCTTATTTTTTAGACATACTATTTGAAGTATTTACAGATGCAATTATCTACATAGGATCTAATTTAAAAGGGAAAGACTCGACAGGATGAAGATGAAACAGTCCTGGTGTCAACAGTCACTGACAACTAGGAACAGGGACAGGGGATTTCATTATTCTTTTCACTTTTGTATGTTTTAAATTTCCCTTAAAGTTTTTTTTTTTTAAGATGCTAAGCAGATTCTGTCACAACCAAATACAGTACTGGACCTTTGCACGCAGGGTGCAGAGAAAGCTAAACACCAACGGCAACAATGAAAAACAGTCACGCGCCGCAGAAAGTCCACTAGGACAACTTTCTCATACATCCGTGGTCCCGTAACGTTTTTTTCCAAAGGGAAAGCAGCTCCCCTTCTCTTTATTAATTTCCCCCTAATGATATTAAAGACCCCAAACCCAGACTCTCGCAGCACTGGACCATGGGCGGGACATAGGCAGGTGAGACAGAGGACATGACTCTGGGCACAGGATGGGGGGCTGGCTTCCTCTCACTCTATCTTTTGCTAAAGTTCATCCCTAAAGGCAAAGACATTTCTTCCTCCTAGGGGAAGTAAGTGGGCAGCCCACAATACCACCTCCAAATGGTCACACACATCGTCCACACTCTGGCCACTGCTCGTCAGAACTGGAGCCCACTGACATTCAGAGGGAGCCCTGGTTAAGCGCAACGGTTGTTAACCAAAAGGTCAGCAGTTCAAATTCACCAGCCACTTCTTGGAAACCCTATGGGAGTAGTTCTACTCTGTCCTATAGGGTCAGTACGAGTCGGAATTGGCTCAATGGCAACGGGTTTTGATATTCAGTGGGGAGGGCGGGATGGGGCGGGGCGGGGGCTGGAACAGCAGAAGCAAAGCAGGTGTTTCCCGATGGCTCACACCCCGATGCACCAGGATGGGGCTGAGGGGTCGAGCAGGTGGCTCGTCTTGGCCTGCGAATCTTGAGGCCGGGACTCTGGGCTTAACACATCTTGAACATCGCACATCCAGCTTCTCTTCTCAGCCTGGCTGCCTCTCCCTGCCTGTCTGGGTTCACCCCTGTGGGGCACAATTCCCAGAGGGGCTCCAACATTCACCAAGACCCATGCCAACCACCCAAACTGTGCGAGAGACACAGTGTAAGTGAAGGCTGTCCCAGCCAGCTATTCCAGCGTGGCCACTGCATGATTC